TTGTTTGATTCCAATATAAATTTGCAATTATTCGAACATCTCTGCCGTCCAAGCCAATGTCTTTCAGAGCTTCGATCAATATAGAGTGCTTAACACGATCAAATGCCTTTTGAAAGTCAATAAAACAACAGTATATGTCTACAGATATATCAAGACATATTTAAGCAAGTACGTTTATTCCAAACAGTGCCTCTCTCGTTCCAAATCCGTTACGGAAACCAAACTGAGTGTCATCCAGGTATTCCTCACATTTATTGTAGATACGACCATGTATTACCTTCAGAAAAATTTTCAATAAGTGGTTTAACAAACTGATGGTTCTATAATCAGCACAGGTTTTGCTGTTGTCTTCTTAGGTAGAGCTATAAACAGTGAGTTAGACCAACCATTAGGTAGTTGTCCGCTGGTATAAATGGTATTGAAAAACGAAGTTATAGCCTCTAAAACATTGCGATCCTTTATAAACTTATATATTTCAGTTGGAATTTCATCAGGACCAGTCGCTCTGCCATCTTTTGATGATTGTATGGCCTTTATAACCTCACAGCGTGTTATTAGGGGTCCGTCGCAGTTAGTAATATCGGGAGGTGAACTACTCCTATCGTCTTCGAATAGGTTCGTGACGTAAGTTTCCCATTCTTTAAGTTTGTCCTCTACTTCGAATATTACTTTACCATTTTCATCCTGTAGCAATGCATTTTGTTTCTTATTGAAGATACCAGCCGCTTCTTTTACTTTTTTTATACATGTTAAACGTAAGGAAGTATTTGCTTGCCAGATATTCTCTACGTAATGAGAGCTAGAACCAGTGTGGCTTCATTTGAAGTGCGTTAAAACCGCTTTTTATATTTAAAAAATATAAGTAAAGTTGGAAGAAAGAGATGGATAAATGCCGTGACACGACTACGTGATTTTTAAACGCTAAAGATAATTTCGGATAATTTTGTTGAAAGTGTGAAGGATTGTCAAAATCATACCTAGTTTTGACAAACTGTACTTGTGGTTAGTAAACATTTCCTACGGATGTTAGTCGTATCAATCCTGCAAGAAAAAAGAAATTGCTCAAGAAAATAGCAGCACGAAAAGAACCTCATCATCATCATCCAGCCCCATTTTCACATCCATTGTTGGATATAGGCCTCCTCCAAACGTCTCCAGTTCTCTCTATCTTTAGCTGCTGCAATCCAGTTTGTTTCTATTCTCCTTAGGTCGTCGGTCCATCGGGTGCGTGGTCTGCCTCAACTTGTCGGCTCTTGGTCTCCACTCCAATAATCTCTTCGTCCATCTTCCGTCTTCCATTCTAGCAACATGTCCAGCCCACCTCCACTTTTGTTTATTGATTCGCAGTATAATATCGTCTACGCCAGTTCGTCAGTGAATCTCCTCATTTCTCACGCGATCTTTCAAGGTCAGGCCCAGCATTGATCTCTCCATTCGCCTTTGTGTTACCCTCAGTTTTTCGGCAGTAGCTTTCGTTAAAGTTAGGGTCTCTGCTCCATAGGTCAAGACTGGTAAGATGCATTGGTTAAATGCCTTTCTTTTCAGGTGAATGGGGATATTTGTTTTAAAAATGTATCTCATCCTTCCATATGCCGCCCATCCCAACGTGATTCGTCTATTTAGCTTGCAGGTTTGGTTGTCTCTGGTTATTCTAATTTCATGACCCAAGTATGTGTATTTATCGATTAATTCGACCTTGTTGTTATTAATCTGTATCTCTTCGCTGGGAACCATATTGGTCATCATTTTGGTTTTCTCGAAATTTATCTCCAGCCCAGTTTCTTGTAATATGTCATTCAGTTCTTGGAGCATGTCTTTGATCTCTCCCAGATTATCTGATAGAAGCACGATATCGTCCGCAAAACGTAGATGGTTTAATCTTTCTCCATCGATGGATATTCCTTTCTCTTGCCATGTTAGTTTTTTAAATGCATACTCAAGAACGGTAATGAACAGCTTTGGTGACATGGTATCACCTTGCCTGACTCCCCTTTTTATCTTTATTTTATTAGTTGCAGAATGTAGACTTATGGTTGTTGTGGCATTTTCATATATATTTTTGACTATATTACAATGTCTGTGGTCGACCCTGCAATCTTGTAGTGCTCTTAAGATGGACGGTAGTTCCACTGTATCAAACGCCTTTTTAAAGTCTACAATTGTCATTGCCAAGGGACGGTTATATTCATTAGTTTTTTCTATCAGGGTTTTTAAGCATCGCAGATGATCGTTTGTGCCGTAATTAGGGCGAAAACCAGCTTGTTCCCGAGGTTGGTAAAAATACAGCTTTGTCTCTAATCTGTTCGTTATTATTCGGGTGTATAATTTATAAAGATGGTTAAGGAGACTGATTGGTCTGTATCTTTCCAGGTCTGTTATATCTCCCTTCTAGTGTAAGAGTACAGTTATTGAATTATTCCACTTTGTTGGGATATTTTGATTCCATATGCATAGATTAAAGAGCTTTTGAATTTGGGCTATCAGTACTGAGTCTCCTATCTTTATCGCTTCCGTGACGACACATGTTCTCTGTTTGATGTGATGTTGCCATTTCTATCCTTGAGTTTGACTATTTGTTTATTTCCATTTGTGAGTTTGCGTCTCATTATTTTCATACTCTTATTTTCTTCAATGATTTTGAGGATTTTCTCATCTTTGTATTTTCTTAGGTCTTTTCTGATTTCTCTTGATACTTCCTTGTTCATTCTATTTATATCGTCGTTACTAGAGTTTTCGTCGCTTCTCAGTATTCTTCTTTGTTGCATTTTTTTTTCTGTGTTTCCAGACTATTTTTTTCTCCCTTCGCGTTTTTTGGGCAGCATTTCTTTTGAGCTTCTGTTATTGCTTCTACTATTATGTCATTTAGGATGTTAATATCATTTGTTGATGATTTTTCTTAAAGGAATTTACCGATATGATCTTTAAAATTTTCTTCGTTGTTTTGATGTGTCCATATGTTTATTTGCTTCTTTCTTATCATATTGTGTCGTTCATAGTTGGTATTTAACACAAGGTTTCTTGTAGTAGTAACTGTTCATTAGGAATAGATTTTTCTCTAGTAGAAAGTTTAAAAGAGTATCGCCACGGTTATTTCGTCCCTGACTTCCAAAATTTCCAAGAGCAGTTTCTGCTGGATCCAGTTTTGTTCCTATTTTGGCGTTAAAGTCTCCACATATAACTGTGAAATGTGTGCGGTTGTTTGTGATGGCTGTACTTAAACCATCATAAAAGACTTCGATCTCCTCGTCTGTTTATTCTATTGTTGGAGCATAGACTTGGATAACTTTTAGATTATATCTACGAAAAGAACCTACTTATTTCTAAACTTCGTCTTCATCGTCTTAAGAATTTCCTCATCGGTGATTCGTTAAATCCATGGTATTTCTAATATTTCCAAACACAATTACATATTAAATGTCTTCTGACCTAACTGCCTCGATTAAAATTAATACTGCAAGAAAAATCAAAATGCTGAAGAGAATCTAGAGAAAAAATGATCTCCTGGCCTCGAAACATAGGAAGGAACTTTTGTTCATAAATTCTTCAATATGTTAATCGACATTTATCTATTCTAAGCCAGTCCGCTTCTGAAACTTCAAATATTAAAATATTACATAAACAACGACAAACGTGTGATCCAACGTGAAAGTTTTACCATATTCACTGTAATAAGCTGCTGTAGATCATTAAAAATTGAATTCAGGTTAATAAGTAGGTACCTACTATATCGACGGTATTACCCGAATTGCTTATGCTTAGTGTAGTGGAGCCTTTCACGAAAAACACTCATCAATTATAAACGAGTATATTTATGAATCATTTTTTGTTTTGTGTAGTAATGTCATAATTATTACATAATGAAATTATATTATTTACTGTTCACTTATGAGAACTTAAATTAAATAATCCCCAAATATCAATAAGGGTTTGAAACAAACTAAACATAAAATGTGTTAGAAATTACCAAAAAACTGAAACAAACAAATAATTTCACTTCACTTTTCACATTTCTTGTGTGTTGCAACAAACAAATAATAAATTGTATAATCTGTCATATACGCTATGACAAAAGGACTTATCGAAATACAGTTCAAGACATATAACAAAAAAACACTCATAAACTTCGGCAATTTAATAAAATGAATGCATATAAAGAAATATAGCGATCAAGTCAATAACAACTGTATAGGTACCTAACAAATAGACGAAGCGTGATCAGCAACAAAAATTGTTTCCTGGTTATTTCGCAGAGAAGAAAGAGGTTCGTCATAAAAATATTTTACCTATGAATTAAATTGTGTAAATCTAAAAGATTTAACATCATTAAATCATTGAATAACGTCAAAAATTTCATGCTTAGTAGGTATGTTTTATTTCTTGTTTCTTTGGAACTCTCATTTTTTTTTAATCTAGGTAAGACGCAAACTGGAAGACTTTCGTTTGAGGTCTTTTACCTGTATTGGATTTTCTGCTTTTCAATATTCTGCTAGTTTTAATATACCGAAATAAAAATTTCAGACTTCAGTTACTGACCTCAAGCAAAAATAACTTTGTTCTTGGTTTGTTGATCCCAATCTTCTTTTTAACTCCAGGTATAAAAATGTTGAAATGCACCACATAGTGGTGGTATAAAAATGGAAATCACAGGATTTCTCAACAAACATCAACGTTTATATTACCCATCGATTTTTACTCGATAATATTACCAAAGAATATAGACGCTCTTTGATATTACCACAGAATAAAAATCAAGTATTTCTTATTCAGTTGTTTTACTCAAATTTTACATAATTTTAACCAAGTCCCATTAATAGAAATTGAATTCGGGACTGATTCAACTTAAAACCACTTAATTTGTCTAATCAGTAATAATAACTTTTGTAATAGTTTACGTTTTCATTACATAATATCTATATTGTAGTCTCGTTTAAACAGAATTTTTATCCAAAATATTTTGATTTTGGATGATTGATGTGTTATGTAGGCAACCATCAATACATCTTCGTTATGCTGTTTGTTTTATTGACATTTCACATTTCCTTGAGTGAATGTTATGGTCATAATTAAGCTAAATTTAACAACACGCTGAACAATGAATATTAAGTAAAATTGTGAAAGAATCATGGCCGGTGTTGTACCGAAAAAATCAGCATCTGGTCGAAAACAATGGACATTACGTGGTAATTGTACATAATTGTTATTTCATGTTATGGGATATATTATCCATTGAAGGAACCTTGTAATTTACAAAATAATTGGTCAAAATAAAACAAATGTAATTGAATTCGGTAGTTATGTTCAACACATTATTACTGTCTGATGGATAGTGTAAACCCTTGACCTATAACATAATAACATTTCAGGTAGTTGCCTAAAGTAAGTACATTTTTCAGATAATTCCCAATATTCCCTTAAAAGATTAAGGAACCAGCTCGCATCTGATGGTTGTCCTGAGTCCCAAGTTGTATTAGCTAAACAACTGTTGGATGAAGAATGTGGTAAGAACCAAAATATACAAATTTTAGCTTGTTCTATTTTAACAGATTAAATATTGATTCAACAACATTCATAGCCATATAATAATAGGTCTTAAACAACAAAGTGTTGGTTCAAATTTGATTCCTTTTTAGCAAAAATGTAATTATATAAATAAGGAAAGTCTAAAGTAATGTGTCATCACATAGTAAAGTGATAGACAGACAGTAAAAAGATTTTAATGTTTTTATTAACATTTAAAATATTACAGAACAGAAGGGTGTCATAAATAAAAGGATAAAAGCAGACATAGATAGAAACAATTGGAAAAGTCAAAAGTTACCAAAATGTGAAGACCTGACTATAAAGAGCAAAATAGAAATATACAATGTGACCTACACAGGATGACATCTATATAACAAATAGGAACGAAAATGCACTAAGGATCATAAAATTCAAATTTATACAGATTCAAAAACTGAAATGGTGACTTTACATCTAAAGACTACGAGAAATTATAGATGCTGTTGTGAAACCAAAGAATGTTAAACTTGAAAGAAGTGTATGGCCATGAACACAAAGGGGGTGAAATCATATAAGATTTAACTCCCCATGTACCTACCCCTATGATATAAAAGGTTTAGATATCTATATTAATTTTTTTGAGAAGACTGAATTTTTTTCAGTCTAGGACTGAATTATGATGAAATGAGAGGATATAATGGATGTATACAGATTCAAAGGCTGAAATAGTGACCCTTCATATATGAACTACAAGAACTTATAGACATTGCTCTGAAAGCCAAAGAATGTTAAACCTGAAAGAAGTGTATGACCATGAATACAAGGGGGGCTGAAATCATATAAGATTTCACTCCCAATATACCTACCCCTATGATGTAAAAGGTTTAGATATCTTTTTTTTTGATAAGACTGTTTTTTTTTTAATTTAGGCTGTATATGACCCATACTTAAAGTATATAAGAAACCAATTATTTGTAAAAACTTTAAGCTTGTTTTTGATCTGTTCATTTGTACAAAATCATTATTAGCTTTAGCAACTCTTTTTCTACATCCCTATAGGCTTCTTCATTGTTTGTCATTTATTACATATGTACCAGAACTTATTCACTTGCTTATTGTTTTGGTCATTCAGATGAAGGATTAAATGAACCCAATTGTTGTCCCAGATATACATTCTAATATTGGAGGTTTTAGTTTTCAAAAGTTTATAGGAAAAATATGTAGTTATTTGTATAATCATTTTTACAAATGAATTCTTTATTGAAACAGTGATGATACAGGAATTACCTTTTGGGAACCCCATTCATTTAAATAAAAGATTACTAAGTAATTTTATTTAATTTAAAACATTTTTGGTAAATTATAAACAAATTTAATGTAAGAATATTTTGCTGATTACCACAAAAATTTGTTTGGTTTGAAGACATGATTTATAAAAAAATTTGGAATATTAGTTTAATTTTCAAGCTATTATCCTTACATGCAGAATTAAACATGAGATAATATACTAGAGATATTCAAAAAGTTCCATTACTACTGCTTAAATTATTTATTTAAAAGCATTAGAAACCATTCAATATTATCTCATAAAAATTACTGCCCTTGTTTCATATGTAACATATATATTTCTGTTGTTGCTGAAAGGACAAACTTTTTAACAATCTCTTAGAACTACTATGCTCACTGCTAATCTACCTTTATGATTTGTAGAAGTTGAACCTGATAAAAAAGAAAATGCTTGTCTGGGAGTTTATTGGCTAATCAAAGCATCCAAACAAGGCAACATTGAAGCAACTAATCTTCTAAAATCATGCCTTCAAAGCGGGAAAGGTATTACAGAGCACAATTACATGGATGTAAAATCATGTATCAATATGACCCAGGATGAGAAATTGGCCCGAAAAGCTGCTAGAGAAATGTTTGCAAGGTAATACTTTTTGTACTTCATAAAAAACTAGGTATTTAGTTTTAATTATAGATCAAGGGCTAGGTTATGGTCCTAGTGCACTATGTTTATTTATCTTATCCTCAGTGGATATTTTCTCTAACATTTAAATATACATTGACATAGTTCCCCAAATTAAATAATCTCACCAGATAATTTAAATGATATCAAATAGGCCTTTTTCGCATGTTTTAGTCTTCTTTAAAGCCTTTCTGGTTAGTAGATGTAATAAAACTTCAGTTATTCTCAATTGTCTCCATGTTTTAAAGATATATGACAAAGAACATTATAATATATTAGTTTGCATGTTCCTTCCTTCATAATCAACTGCAACAACTTGTACTTATCATTTCTAAGTGTGTGCCCCAAATATGCGGTCTTTCGCCTTTTAATGGTAGTCAAAAGTTCTCTGTCTCTTCCCATTCTGTACAACGCCATCTCGTTCATAATATGATCGGTCCATGGTATCTTCAAAATTTGCGTAAAAAGCCACATCTCAAAAGCTTCCAGTTTTCTCATTGAGTCAACATTAACAGTCCAGGCTTTGACACCATAAAGAAGAATAGAGTTGATATAACATTTTACCATCTGATATCGAATTTACAGATTGAGTCTTTGATTAGTCAGAAATTTCCTCATCTTCAAAAAGGCTGCTCTTGATTACTCTATTCTTGAGTGAATTTCTTATTTTGGATTCAGATCTTCTGTAATCCAGACTCCTAAGTATTTCAGTTTGTCCACTTGCTCAATCATCATCATCACTGGCTCGACAACCCTTTTTGGGTCTTGGCCTATTCAAGGATTCTTCTCCATTCTGACCTGTTTCGTGCTTTTTTTTCAGTTTGCCAGTCCACTTGCTCAATATCTTCATTTTTTATCTGGATCCTTGTAATGACTTTGCCCCTCTTACTGATAACCATGGTTTTTGTTTTCTTTATGTTTATTGTTAAACCAAACTGTTCCGTAGTATCACAAATTGTGTTTAGTAATGTCTGCAGGTCTGTCTCACTTTCAGCGATAATGACTGTATCGTCAGCAAATCCGATGTTATTTATAGGTTTGTTTGTAGTAGCGATTACAAACGGTTTGTGATTTGAAATACAGTGCGCATGTTCAGTTGGAAACTGTTTGGAATTAGTTTGTGATTTTGTGCTCTGCGAACACCTAAAATTTGATATTTTGCATTTGTCATTGTAGTTTGTCAAATCTCGAAATCTCCTTTTCTTATTTCTTAAGGCCGTATGACACTATGCATTTTCTTGTGTCATTTCTTATATCGTTTCTGATATAGAAAGTTATTTATGTTTTCTTGTATCGTTTCTTGCACATACATTTTTGCCCTGTATGACACTATGCAAGGTCTTTTACCAGAAATTGTATGTGGTTTGGCACATGATTGGTCGAAATTTTGACACCTATAAAAATAGAACTGCAGTACCTGAGGACTCCAAGCTACTGGGGACCGAGGACATATGCTACTGATTATTTTTTAAAATACAGTGGTGCAAAAATTAAAGAAATAAAATGTCCCAATATTAAAACTAAATTGGAAACCACAATTTTTGAAGATATTCAACAGGCTGTAATGGAAGACAGAAATAATAATTTGGTTGTAATAATTTATTTTTGGTTTGGTTTTTTTTTTTAATTATGTGTTTGAATGGCATGCTCTTGAAATTCTACTCTCTTATTTGGAGATATAAAATAATCTTTAAACTCATCACCAATTTTTAGAGCGGTTATTTCTTGTACAAGAAACTGCAACGGACACAAATTCGTGTATCGTTTCTGATATAAGAAACTATACGCTTGTATGACACTATCCATTTTTTTGTTATATCAGAAACGATATAAGAAATGATACAAGAAAATGCATAGTGTCATACGGCCTTTAGAATTCGATCTAATTAGTTTGTTAAATCTTTTTATTCACTTTTTTTGCATTTATTGTTTAATATTATTAGTCGTTTATTTGATTTTATTAGTTTGATTATAGTTTTCTTAGTATATTTTATTTTTTAGTTATACCTATATAGTTGTTATAACAACCAAACGTTTTTTTTGTGGTTATAAAATAGATTTATACAACAACAACACCTCTGCGCATGTCGCTGATTCTTAGTCCGCACAATCGTTGGGGATTTTAACAACCGTTGGAAACCGAATTCTGATTAATCACTTTGTTATATTTTATATTTGTTATATTTTTACCATTTATCTTGATCCCTTCTCTACAGTTTTCAAGTGCTTGCTTAAATAACTCTTCGAAATATATATTAAGTAGTAATGGTAAACACAGCCCTGTCTCACTTCTCCACTTATCTGTTGCGCATCTGTGCTATTTCCATCTAATGTTCCCACAGCCTGTTGGTTCCAATAGAGATTTCTCACTATGTTAATGTCATTTTTGTCGAGTCCTTTTCTCTTTAGACATTCCATGAGAATGTTATATTTAAATTTGTCATATAAACGCAACGAAAAGATCTTTTTGTTGGTCTCAACATTTTTGGGCACAAGTTGTGAAACTATACAGAGCTTCCACTGTTCCGAAGCCGTTACGAAAGCCAAACTGTCTATGACTCATATCCGTCTCGCACTTTCTAAATATTCTTGCATGTATAATCTTTAAAAATGTTTTTAATAGGTGTGACATTATGCTGAGTCATTACAGTGTTTGGGGTTTTTGGTTTTTGATAGCGGAACAAAGGTTGATAGCAGCCATTCTGTCAGTATCTCACCAGATTTGTATATGTTGTTAAAGAGTATAGTTATTGCACTTAAATTGTCTTCATCTATAAGTTTAATCAGCTCGATCTAAACTTCATCTGGCCCAGAGGCTCTGCCAGATTTTGAGTTGTTTTTTAGCATGTTGGACTTCAGATTTTAATATTATTGGAGCTTCCTCGTTATCAATTCGTGTTGGTTCCGTTCTTGTGTCCATGGAATGATCTTCAATATATTTAGTCCATACTTGTTTTATTTCAATTAGGTTATTAATAGGTTTACTGTTTTTGTTAGTAATCGGTTAGGTGTATTTGTTCGTGATTTTCCAGATAATTCTTTAACTTTTTATGTAAATTATAATGATCATGCTTTTTCTGCAATTCTTCCACTTCGATGCATGTTTCCATCATCCACTTTTCTGTAGCCTCTTTTATTTTGTTCCTTATTAATTTATGTTTTTCTCTGTACTCATTTGGGCTTTTGTTTCTATATTTTCTTTGTTCCATGATTTCCAGTATTTCTTGAGTCATCCCAGGTTTTCGGCTTTCTGTTTTCTTTTGTAGAATTTCTTTCTGTGTTTTTATAACAGAATATTTGATTTTGCTCCACATAATGTTCACATTCTCAGTGTTTTTCATTTCTGATGTTAATTTCTTCATTTATTGATTGATACAAGTTGAAGCCTCAGCATGGATTTCATTTATCTTGAGTAACTGAGTATTCACCTTAGAACTTTTGGATTTTATTATCTGTAGGTTATGGTCTGAGGGGACATCTGCTCCAGGAAAAGTCTTAACGCTTACAGTGGAATTTCTAAATCTTAGATTGGTTGGAATAAAGTAGATCTGATTTCTAATGCAATTTTGTTCATTATCCTGTGGTGACAGGTATATAGTCTACAGCCATACAGTCTATAAACACTTGAAGAACTGTAACATCTTCCATTAATCCATAGAATGTATAATATCGTAAACTGTTTTTAAAATCCACTCATAAGTAAATAGGTCATTTGCCTACGGAGTCAAAAATAGGTCATTTTTCCTTGAAAACTTCTAAAGAAAATGTTCATTCTAGTAATTTCTAATGATTTTTAAGGTCATGCTTTAATGGTATAAAGAACTTAGACTTCGTTAAAAAGAGAGGGGGATCAAGGAGACTAATTAGTAGAAAACTAGTTAAATGTCAAGTTTCACGTAAAATATAACATCTCGCTTTATTTTCAAAATTTAAGAGCAAACATAAGGAAGCTTTATGTGAAAAAGACTCAGGGATGAACTTTAGATTTTAAAAACGAAAATATACATGAGAACATGACCTTTTTGACCTCGTGTTTACTGACATAACCAATGTATGTTACATATTCTGATATTCATATTAATTTGGAAAAACATTTTACTTTGTATTATTTTCAGCCTGTCAAATGGAGGAGAATACATAACATCCTACCAATTGAAAAGAAAGATGTTAGCGATCGACCGTGGGGAAACGTGCTCAAAATCCACAGAAACTAACGACATAGACGAAGATAATTGGGGACTGGGTAAATTAACCAACGAGTATGAGGAGTTCAGTAGCGAATCTGAAGAAGAAACAGACTGGTCACAAAGATCGGATAGTACCAACGAAAAACTAACCGAGGATCATCTACTAGCAGCCGCTGTCGACTACTCACATGGTCAGTTACCGGAGGTCAATCGGATATTAAGTTTGTCCAACCCGGACCTAAAAGCTTTAGACCATATTCCGTACGTTCATAGGTCCATACTACATCCTTTGTTGGTTTTAAAAATACTCTATTTTAAATTGATTCAATTTCTAGGGCAGAAGACTTGGCCGCTCTTAGGTCCTCTAGTCAAATCCGAACTACAAATTATGCTGTTATTGATAGTTTACGTATTTTTTAGTTCCGATAATGTTTTGTATATTTTACCGATGTTGTTGTATTACATTTCGTTCGCGGTAATGGTTTGTACGACGTTTCAAATGTTGCAGAACCAAAAAGAGTTCACAGATTTTCGACTGTGGTCTGGATTGTTCATTTGTTACTCCGGCGGTAACTTGAACGCAAGTGAAACCGAGTACCAATATATCAGAAACAATATGAAGCCTTACGGTCAGTTTTTTGTAAGCCTTCTAGTGAATTTGTTTGTCTATTCTTTTATTTCTGAGCAGTGGATTCTACAATCTGAGTTAACTATAATTTCATTCCTGCTAACTTTCATGACACTGTTGGGTTTCATGTCAAAAGTAAGATCCAAAATGGTGTTTGATATGTCAGTGTTGTTCAGCTTTGCAATAAACGTCTTAGCGAAGTACCCGTATGATACAGACCCAGTAGTAACTCAAGGCTGGAGATTCCTAGAGCTAAATGTCCCAACTTTTCCCAGTTACATAATCGGAAACGGTATAGAGTTCTGCATTAGTTTCAGGTTCATTCTTTATGCTTGCATACCTCTCATATTCCTGAAAATAGCTCACAAGCAAAACTGGAGAGGCACTTATAAAACTCTGATACCTCATTGCGTAACTTTAAGTTGGTTGCAGATCTGCATCATCAGTTCACAAGGCGCCACTATGTTTGGTTTCTTAAGAGGAACTCTCGCTCTGGTCGGCGCAGTTCTATTCTTACCGTTGGTAGGCATTACTAGCGTTATTCTGCCGGTAGCAGCTTTAACGAAGTGGATAATCACTTCTAATTTTATTTACACTATTTGTATATTTGTTATTTTAAGTACTTTAGGGCTGGGGATATGCTACGTATGTGCCCAGACAAGATATAAGAAGTATACAGCTATAATACAGATCGTACTGATGGTTTTGGCGTTCTTTATACTAATAAATTCTTCGAAAGAACACATAAGCTACTACGACGATGAAGAGAAGTCGTCACAGGTAATGAGCTGGGAGATATACCAAACGTTTTGTCATCAGCCCGTTTGGCAAGAAGAAAACATCGCCTTGTCTCAAATAAAATGTGTTGATCTAGAAGGTGTCACCATACAGTGGAATGGCTACATCAGTGAAATCAAATTGAGGTCAGTATCAAATAGATACAAAAGTATATTCGATAAATTGCCAAAAAGTCTCTCCGAGTACTTTTATTGTATGTATGGCGAAGAAAACAAATCGGACTGCGATCGAGTACCAGAAATAGCCAGAGACAACTGCCTGGCATTCTACGACATCGTAAGCTCTGTAAATAAATGCACATTGCAGAAATACAACAAATACACCTTTGAAATTACATTGAAGATGCACTCAGGCATTTGGGCCAAAGCCACGGAGCTCACTCTAGTCGTTAACGAGTACTTCCAAGACTTCGTACTCAAATTGAAACCCACCGACCATATCAGATTCAAGGGCAAGTTGTTTAACAACGAGGCTGACAGTTCGGATGCAATTTTGGGCGGTTTTAAAACCGCACGTGCAATTGGAAGAATTGAGTTGTTCGTCCTGTCAAGATAATACGCTCGATGAAATGAAACTAACTTACGAATCTAGTATTAATATTTATAGTGTGATGAATTGTGCCCGCGTTGGCGTTAAGTTTATATTGAATGTTATTTTTAGGCCGTTTTTGATCTTTAAGTAATTCCAATAAATGTTAATAGACTAATATTAAGGCGGTGTTTTATTTCGTGAACCTATAACCTAAAAATCCCTTTTATCCGGAAAAGAAAAAAGATTTTGAAGGTTAAACATGGGCAATACAATTATTCTACTGTGTGATTATTGCAATAATCAGTATTAAAAGCTATATTATGCAGTATTTGCAAGAAAAGTGCTTTCCAAAAGATCTGTGCCGAAAGGGCATGTCAAATCACCAATAATATTGGCCAATGTTCAAATTGTAAACAAAGCGAAGGTATGGTACGTAAAAAAGTGTAAAATTTGCTTCTGGAAAGAGTAGTAGAGATCAAGAAGTAGTCGAAACGCAATGCATCGTTTGTGTGCCTACTTTTCAACGTCTAATTTAGCAATCGCCGCTAGAGGCACGAGTATTGCAAAGGGTGCTATAAATACAATTATAGACTTAGTTGTTTAATTTATTTTATTTATGTTTTAGCGTTATTAGATATCCATTTATTATTTGATTAGTGTCGAATATGTTTTATGCCATAAATAAATTATAACATATCGACGTGTGGTCAAAAATGTAGTATTTCTATAGAAAACATGGAGCTGTAAAATCAAATTTAAATTTGCAATTACTCTAATCTGGACAGCTTATTTTGTAGCAGAATTCACATTAATTGGTATTAAAAAAATTGGCGCCCCACGTTGGGCGCCAATTGTGTAACGGCTAGCTCACCCATTGCACATTGAAACCCCTCAGGGGTGATGTTCGGCATAAACTAACTTAATTTGAGAAATCGGGTATTATTAATAAAATAATTTTTTTAACACATATCTTTATTTATTTATATTTTAATAAATCAAAATGTAATAACAATTAAATTGAGGTTCTAACAACCGGGAATTAAGCATCTATATACAAAATCTCAAGAAATAAAGAAACTTATCTCTACTCTATGAAAAATCCTCCTGCTGTTTTCTTCTCAACTCGGACCATACAATGTCTGCAAAAACCATGCCGCTAAGCCGAAACCATGTGGATCCCTCTCCAATCCAAAGCCATGCGGATTTTCAAAATCGAGGTTGATTTCTTATTCCAAAAAAAAACAATTCCATTTTCGTATTTTTCGAGGTGGATTCTCGTGAATAAAAACCAAGGTGGATTCTCTCGAATAAAAACCAAGGTGGATTCTCTTGAATAAAAACCAAGGTGGATTCTCTTGAATAAAAACCAAGGTGGCCAGACCGTTGGAAGTTTCTGACCACGAGGACTTATTTTTTTAATAATACCTTCTCGTTTGCTGGTTTATTTTAATAAGAAATTAAGTCGGATCGGATTGATAGAAGTAAATTATTTAGGAGTGGAGTTTCTGTTTCTTGTACGATAAAGTAAGCGAAGGTAGGACTACGAGGGGACTTAAGAAATTAATCAGCGGATTTATTTGTAATATGAAAATATTGAAATAAAATATAGGAATACAAACAAAGGAAAAAGAACTTATTATCAATGAAAATCAAATAGAATGAGCAGAAAATAGTGGAAAGTACTTTGAGATTAATAAGAACAAAAATGTAACGTTTTAAACGTTACAAATTCCATCCGAATTGTCTTGCAACGGATATAAATTGTTTTTTAAAAGTTATTTAAATTAGGTATTTGAAGTTTATTGATCAACATTTTTTTGAATTAATCTTTTTATCAAAATTTAAAATGATTTTCTTTTGAACGCTTCATTTAGATTCCGAAGGCTTCTTTAAAAATGTTCAAGTTTAGTTAATAAAATATCTGTAAATTAACTATTAACGATAGTCTGATTTTTACAAAATTTATAATAATTTTTGTAAAATACCCTTTTTCTCAAATCAAAAGAATGCATTGTTTGACAGAAAATTTTCCAAGATACTGTTACTATTATCATTTATTTTTATAAGAAATCTGACAATTGGTTATCTAAATTTATGTAAAATTTTATCCAAACATTTAAATTTAACAATGTCCTACATCAATTTCATTTATTTCATTATTGTGACATTAAAATTATGCAACACGTTTTATAAAATTTTGATTTGTCGGTGACATGTGACCTTTACAACAAGGACACTGATTTATCTCGTTTTCATGCTATAAAATCAAACAGTACATAAGGAAATACTACTTTATGATTTATTTAACTGTTGATCCCTTGTATTTTGTGAGAAAATCTAAATAATTATTTACTGGTTGTTCTTAGTTCGTTATTCGTGCAGAAGTTGATTATCAGTTCTCCATTTTCGTCCTTAACATTCTCATAATGTTTTTATTTAATGCCAGGTATTACTTGATTGCCGATTCGAGCGTTAAAATCCCCCAATATTATTATCTTTCCTCTAACTTGATCTACTACTTGTAAATGGTCGTAAAACGCTTCATAAACCTAATTAAGATATTTTATGTTCCGTCGTTGGTTTGCTCGGAAATGTAAAAGATTTTTGTATTCGTTAAAATGTGAATTAATTAGAGAAGGATAATTTAGAAAGCAAAACTTTCATTTTTAAGAAACAAATCGTAAGACCACAACATAGAAACAAATTATGCTGTGGTAAGACAATGAGTTAAACACAGACAGAGCTCTCTCCTTGTCAAATGCCATCTGCGAGTCTCACGAAATTTTAGACAAATGACAGGAATTATGAGATAGAAATCATAGATAAATAATATAGTTGATAGAAATTGTGAGGTTATTTTGTGTGCTACACGTGTGTGGAAGATTTTTTTATTTCCAAACATTAATGGGAAACTAAACAAAATGGTAAATATTATTTGTTCGGTGAATACTATTAAACTTATACTAGTTCACAATGTAAGGATTCATTTTAAATGCAAGCATTTTTTTTAGCCGAAGCTTTTTGTTTTATTTGAACATGCTGCGGGGTATGGAGTCTTCAAAGTTGAAGAGTTCGAAGAAATTGGAATGTTGCTTCCGCAGTTGGAAGCCGCAGTCTACGATATAAGTCGATTTAACAGTATCGTGAAACTTGTTGGATTTTGCCCATTTAGGTCAGCTGTAACAGCGTTGGAAAATGTTAACGCTATTTCCGAGGGTATTCTTCCCGAAGAGCTACAACAATATTTAGACGTAACCATTCCCAAGGGCAGCAAAAAAGACAAAGTTACATTGGGTGTGAGTGACCCAAAACTATCTGCTGCCATTACAGAAGCTTTGGGTATTAATTGTAGCCATATTGGTGTAGTTCCAGAAGTTGTAAGAGGTGAGCTTTGAAAATTTATGTAGGGCATATCTAAATATCTATCAGTCTTAAAAAGGCTCTAACATTGTTTTTTATCTACACCTTTAATTCTTGGCTCTATTTTTTTTTATCACTTGTATCCTCACCTATATCTTTTATCATTTTGTATTATTTGTAGGGTTTTTATTTTTGTGTGCAATGAGCTATGTTTTCTTTTTGTTTACACATGTATTTATGATATCTTACATACTACATTGAAGATTATTGAATTACTATTCTAATTAGTCACTCTTTATATTTATTTTAGTTTTTCTTGATCCTTTTTAATTATTAAGTTGAAAAGCTAAAAATTTTCCTCTATACTCAATTCACAATCAAGATGCACTAGAAATAAACAAACCAAGACATGTTAAATGTTAGTTGGAGAAATAATGGTTTACAATGTATATATATTGCGTAAATCCCAAATCAAGATTTACAAAGTTTATACATTGTAAATCATTATTCGGGAGTGTTCCTCGTATCATTTAAGTGTCTTGGTTTGTTTATTTCTACTGCATCTTGATTGTGAATTTAATATAGCTTTTATCAATTGTTTTACGCTAGTTATATTGATATATTGTTTTTTTTTAGGTATACGTGCACACTTCCATCACTTAGTAAAAGGTTTTACTTTAAAAAGTTCAGGAGTTGCTCAATTGGGTTTGGGACATTCATACTCACGTGCTAAAATAAAGTTTAATGTCCACAGAGTAGATAATATGATAATTCAATCTATTGCACTATTGGATCAACTTGATAAGGATATTAACACCTTTTCCATGAGAATCAGGTAGGTAGTTTGTATATATTTATATAATAATAATTCTGATGATCTTGTATTTTTAGAGAATGGTATTCCTACCATTTCCCAGAGTTGGTGAAAATTGTTCCAGAAAACTACACATATGCAAGATTAGCCCAGTTCATTAAGAACAGAAAACTTCTTTCAGAAGAATCTCTGGAAGGCCTAGAAGAACTCACAATGGACTCTGGTAAAGCTCAAGCCATCTTAGATGCTTCAAGATCTAGTATGGGAATGGACATAAGTGACATAGATTTATTGAACATCGAAATGTTTGCTACTAGAGTTGTGTCTTTGTCAGACTACAGAAAACGGCTAGCAGAATATTTAAGGACCAAGATGTCAGATGTAGCTCCAAATCTAGCAACCCTAATAGGAGATCAAGTTGGTGCTAGGTTGATTGCTCATGCTGGTTCCCTTACTAATCTTGCAAAGTATCCAGCTTCTACAGTTCAGATTTTGGGTGCTGAAAAGGCTTTGTTTAGAGCACTGAAAACAAGAGGTAAGATCATGTTTTAAATCTAAAACTATTATATATAACTAAAATGAATAAGTGTCGCATAAGTATAATTTATTAATTTAGTCATTCAATCTGGTTAGGGATCTTCCTTGTGGTGTTCAGCCTCCTGCCTTTTTAGAGATAGAGATCTATGGAGATGGACCATACATAGTCTTGACCTGCCCTCAGTGGAGGTCAAGATTGCAAAGCGAGAATGATAGGTAGAGAAATCAAACAAAATATTGAACTATTTGCTTCTATTATGTATATTACTATGTTTTAAGAGTCAAAATCTTGTTAAAATCCTGATTCTTTTTGCTGCGATCATCCTCATAAATTATCACTTGTTATGGTAGGTAATCTAGTTGCATGCTTTCCAGAAATAATGAATTTTGAGTGAATTAAAGTTAGAGTAAATAGGCCATATTTTTTATTATTTTCTATGTTCAGTCTGTTGTGCCTTGGGACTTCTTAAAAAAAGCCTTTCAGGAACATTAAGATTTTGTGTATATTATTGTTAGGAAGGCCATCTTCTCATCTTTTCTATACTCCATTTGTTGTGTCTGCTTGGGGTTTCTTAAAGAGAGACTATTTTGAAGGTGGATATCTAGGAAGTTGATCCATTATAAAATCTACATCCTTATATGTTATTGTTTTTAAAGTTTCATATCATCTCTCTTTTCAATATGTTTATATACCTTATCCTTTATAGTTTTATTACTAATGATTACTAATAATCCTACTTAAAAACAATATCAACTAAGAAATACATTTTGTTAAATATTCCAATAACTATTCTACGAAAACTTTTAATAGAACCACCAAGTTAACATAATTATTTTTACCAATCTTATCATTTTTAAATTTAGTCTTTTCTTTTTAGGAAACACTCCCAAATATGGCTTGATCTTCCACTCCACATTCATAGGACGTGCTGGCACCAAAAACAAAGGTCGCATTTCAAGGTACCTCGCAAACAAATGCTCAATTGCATCTAGGATAGATTGCTTTTCAGAACAGCCATCACAAGTGTTTGGAGAAAAACTTCGACAGCAGGTTGAAGATAGGCTAAAGTTCTATGAAAGCGGTGATATTCCCAAGAAAAACATTGAAGTAATGAAAGAAGCTATAGAAGAATATGAGCAGCAAGTAGCACAACTCAAGTCAGAGAAGAAGAAGAAAAAGAAAAAGAGGAAATCAGAAGCTGCAAATGAAACTGTTGAGGATGCAGAAGCTAACGGTGTTGACTCGTCAGAACCTAAAAAGAAGAAAAAGAAGAAGTCTATTTCTTTGGATGATAGCCAAGCTTCAGAATTGAATGGAACAGTTGAGGGTGAAGAGAGTCCAAAGAAGAAAAAGAAAAAGAAGAAAAATAAGGAACAAGATGAGTAGGTTCCTATTATGTAGTTGTTGATTTAGGTACTCTTTGTTACATCAAATCAGAGATCTAAGTCGTTTAGTATATAGGTATCATAGGTATTTTTAAAAATTTTATGAAAAATTATAAATGCTTGATTTACTATAATCTTTATGGAAAGGGAGTATTGAATTTGTTTCATTGTATCCTTTTTGATCTTATATTTTCAATATATATTGTTGTAGAGTGTTCTACATGTACATAAACAATAACTGATTGTACAACAAATACACAACATTGATTATACAACAGATACACAAACAATCATTTGAATATTTTATTAGTTTATCTTTGCATATTTTTTCTCTTTTTCTAACAACTGGCACCTCTCAGCAGAGTGACCTCTACTTATTTTTAATATATCAGTTATGTTACAGAGAAGATGGTGTTGTATAATATTGAAAAAATTAAATGGGGTTTATTATTAATTCTCTATTAAACTATGGCTTTCATGTTTATAGTAGTTCAAATTCTAGGGAACTAAAAATGCTATGATTAAACAGCAAAAATGTGTAATTTGAGCAATTTTTGATGTAATTGAGAATTTTGTGACTACCGTTTTGATGTTTCAAAGATTATCTACTTTAATGTGCTAAAATTTTTATATTATGTAAGTTTATATACTATAAATAAGTTAGAAAATGATTTTATGCATTTGTTGTAAAATAATATTCAATTTTGAATAATTTGTCAAATCAAAAACATACTTAAATGTTTTATTAGGTTATTTTATGTTTGGATTAAAATAAAAACCTTTTTTTACAAATTTGTCGTTTTTCTGCAGTAATTTGTGGTGTGACATTACCAATGTAGTAAGTATTTAGTGGTGATGGTAAAATCAAATATGAAGGAGAACACCTACCAAACAAAATACACATAATTATCGGTATGGGAAAAAAGGATGCAAAAAATCGATCAGCTTGAATATTAGAATTACAGAGGGATAACCGCCTTGATTACAGTATATAACATAATCTATACACATGTGAACAAATAATTTTAAGAAGTTCAGGGTAAAAAGTGGATTCGGACAGTAGACCAGATTGACTTGCGACATTCCACTTGTTCATAGAATTCAAAACAGCATATGATAAAATAATATGAAGCAATGCAATATTTCAGAATTCCTTTTAAACTGATAAGGTTGGTAAAGATCACAATGTCGAAAGTCATATGTTAAAGTAAAAATCCAAAATATCTATTTTGAAGAATTCAGAAAAGACTCAGAACTGAACAACCAAAGTTAACAGAAAAGGAGCCTTATGGGCCAGTAAGTTTTTTGGTTCAATAATGGGATGTTTCCCCTTTTATTTATTCAAAGCCTGTTTGGAGTAGGCCAGGAAAATTTGTTTCCATTTGTAGTGAATTGAAAGTTTAGTAATCTTTGTCTTCTGTCTAAATATGAAAAATTTTGACTGCTGACAAATCATAAAAATTCCAGGACCTTTCCTTACATAAATTATTTAAAGTAACTTTCTAAAAAAATAAAGAAACTAATGGACCATCGCATAAGAGAAGTTTTTGTGAGAAAACTGCTTCACTAAAATCACTTTGTTGGCAAACAGGTTAGCAAAGATAACCTATGCCTATCTGGTTGTACCAGATGGTTCTGGTAGAAATTCAACCAAGAAAAGTTTATCCTTCTTCCCACTATACCACATCCTCAGGAGACCTAACTAAAAACCAGCTCTTCTTTGTGTACCTCTCCTACTGGAGATTGGATATCATTAGGGCGATTCTAATTTTATTTACTGATGTTTTGAATAATTCGTTAGTGGTACAGCCAAAACTCTTAAATTTCTCATCCAGGACATTCTTCTACGGCCCGAATTTCTGCGTCCTTGGATTTTTCCATATGCCGTAGTTATTACATATTCATACTTTCAACTAGATGTTGTGGATCTTTCGCTGTTCTTGCCATTATCACAGTATCGTCAGCATATCGAATGTTATTGATAACTTCTCCATTCGTCGTACTCCTCTACATATTTCTATTTCGTCTGATGTTTGGTCTTCTATTTTTATATTAGCTCGCTGATTCCAGTACAGATTTAATATTATTTGTATGCCTCTGGTGTCGATGTTCTTGCCCTCCAGGATTTCTTTGAGTTTATTGTGGCGTACTTTGTCAAAGGCCTTTTCAAAGTCTATAAAGCAGGCGTGTACCTCTTGGTTAACATCTAGACATCTCTGTGTTAGGACGTTTAAGGCAAAGAGAGCTTCTCTTGTACCTAATCCCTTTTTGAATCCCATCTGTGTATCGTTAATATCGATATCTAACTTTTGATAGATTCGGTTGTGGATGACTCTAAGAAATATTTTAAGCAGATGACACATGAAGGAGATTGTTCGAGATGATCTGAACATTTCATTGCCTTAGATTTCTTCGGTATTTTGACAAACGTAGACAGCAACCATTATTGAGGTATTATACCAGTACTGTATACTGTATTGAATAAATGTAATATTATGGTTACAGATTATCATTCAAAAGCTTCAACAGTTCTGTAGGAATTTCATCAGGTCCATTTGCTTTTTCATTCTTAGCATTTCTTATTGTGCATTCTACTTCTCTGTCAACATGTCTGGCCCAGTTGCATTGATTATCTGAGTTAAGTTGTTTCTATCGTCTTCAAAAAATTCATTCAGGTATTCTGTACATATTTTATTCTCTAGATCTACAATAAGATTTGGATCTTTGTCTTTAAGTTTACCTATTTGGCATTTCTTTATGCTTCCTGTTATTTCTTTTACTTTTTTGTGCATATTGAATGCATCGTACTTTTTCTCATAGGTTTCCATTTCTTCACACTGTTCTTTAATCTACGCCTCTTTGACTTTTATTCTCTTTTTTATGTGTTTGTTTATTTCTTTGTATTTGTCTAGGTAATTCTTCATCTTTCTTCTTTGTTCCATCAAGTCTAGTATATCTTGTGCCATCCACCCCTTATTCTTGTGTCATAAAAACCAGCAAAAAACCCATAATCCAAAGTGTGAGATACCGTGCTGAAGAATGCACGACCATACGAGTGGTCTTAAACGGTTCCCTCCAGATACCAGGCGACCTGCGGTTGTAAGAAGCCTTACTTAAGCGAGTGGACATATATTTGCCAGCTACTCATAAGAACCAAAAATAGAAAAATGGATGTTCAAGTATAAAGATAAACTAGAAGGAGACTAAGTGGGGCGGCTCGGATGCAGTTACATCGACGTCTGAAAGTAGGAATACCCTGAGAAAGCTCTAGAAAAGGTACTAGAAATAAAACCTAGAACGAAAAAGATATATTGGTATAAGCCCTCTTTTACCAAAACTTTTAGTAAAAGATCAGGTCAGAGGCAAGCACCCCAAAGGTGGGAATAATCCACACTCATACATCTCAAACAGAAAAAAAATCCCAAAAGTCTAAACCAAAGAGATGATGCTCAAAGGCTTCCAACAACATAGAAAACGGTATTAAAGAAAAAGTCAAAAATACATCAGACCACAAGACCGACTAGTAGGACCCCGCCTACCTATACACGGACAGGACCAATCACAAGAAGCCTTACGGCTCTAAAAAGTAAACGCAGCGACCAGGAGAGTCAGTTAACTTCAAAGCATCAGCGAGAAGCGCTACTACCTCACTTGACAATTGCAAGTTCGACCTTGCCGAAACGTCAAAATAATGATAGTTCTTGTGCGTTGTTTACTATTAGGACCGTGTATCATCAGCGTACAGATTAAATAATAGCGGTGATAAGACGCAACCTTGTCGCACTCCTCGACGGACTCGTATATCTTCTTATGTTGTGTGCTCTATTTCAATTGTTGACTTCGGTACCAATATAGCTCTGAGATAATTCGTAAGTCTTGTTCGTCGATTCCAGTTCTCAGAATTTCGTTCATCTTTTGATGGTTAACGCAGTCAAATGCTTTTCGATAATCAATAAAGCATGCATATACATTCAAAAATGATGGATAATTAGGTGTGACTGAGTCAAAATGGATGGTGGGAAGAGCACATGAACGGTGACTAGTACAACTGCGGTAAGATCGGTCGCGTTGGGAGGAATCATGTCCAATATCGGTGGACCCCGATCCGAGAGGAGGGTTTATCATGCTGTTGTGCTATGGACAGTCCTCTACGCGGTACCAATCTGGGGTAGAGCGGTCCTAATAAAATCGGACAGAAGACACCTCACCTGAGACCCGACAGATAGGATAAGTATCTTGAGAGTAGCACCTGTATATGGGGGCAATGAGATGAAGGTCCATTATATGTGGTAAGAGGAATGGGACACAATGAAGGGTGATGATGCAGAGGATAAATGTAAATAAAGGATGCTGCTTTCATACCTGCAGAGATGGATGTATATGGGATTATACCAGCTATACACAGATCCAGTGTAACGATGTGCATCGCCAGCTATCGTCGACGACTTACCTCCGCCCTGTACATACGCACTCTCACCACCACCAATGAGCACTGGAAATGGAAGACCGGCAACTGTATAAAACAACGTACGCTGCAAGAGGGAATCCAGTTCCGCCAGAGTACTGATCTGGTGGAAACTCCACCGGGTCTTTGGGTATTGACCAAAGACCAACCGTCCTGGTAGTTCTATCAGATTATTGATCTGGAAACAACTTCACTAGTAAATCTCTTTATATCAATAGTGATATCTGATATCTAGTATGTAACTATACATTCATTAATCACGAAGATGTGTAGTGCCCTTTTGGCAGTCGCCTTGTTAGTTTTTCATTTTAATATAACCGTTATCCCCTCCCCTTTCATGTACCGCATCACACACTCCATTTTTCGTCATTGTATTATTTACCATCTCCCCTTTCCAGCAAGACCTCATATGTCACGATCTGTCAAGCCATTCTCAAGTTGTGCAACTTTGTGACCAATTTGTGTAGCAGTGATTGTTGCAAAAATTTGTCACACAAAAAACTTTTCAGTTCAATAAAATATGTAAGATTTGATAGACATAATTTATGTTTAATTCTTATTACAAAAAATTTAAAGAAATATGCAGCATATATACAAAAAATTATATAGTCATGATACAACATCTTTTCTTTTTGATTAATAAATTACAATATATGCCAAAGCAAAAGATACCAAAACCAAGGCTCAAATTAAACCTAGACATTCAAAAGTTACACATTCTGGTGAATATGAAAAACCTTATGGGATTCCTAAAAAGATTCATAAAACAAGTCTATCTACAAGTGGTGTTGTGTGTGACAAATATAAAACATAATTATATAATTGTAAGATAATTTATTTTTATAACACAAATAATTTGCTGAAAATGAAAGTTATTTGAATGGCACATGGTCAATCTTCTTGAAGAACATATAATTATGATGCTGATTGATTTTAAAAAAATTATATAGTATAAACTTTTTAATATAACCATTTTTATTCATACCATCCAAAAGCTTATTGTTTCCAGGATACTTTACATTGACATATACTGTGTTATACATTGTACATCAATTTGTTTGAATGCTGTATAACAGCATTATTAAACAATTCATTTATTTAAAATTTTCTAAGATGGGTGGAGCATGTTTATTCAATTGAATTAAAATAAGAGTTTTTATTTAAAATATTATAACACTATAATCTATGTTAAATAGCTTTCAGGATCATTCACCACCCTCCGGCTGAAAATTGTCATTCTGTGCAACTCCAGGTTGATAATATCCTGAATGAAAGGATGTTTGCTGATCAGATTCCACATTGTTAAAAGAATAATTTCCATTTTCCTCTGTATGTGTATCTTCGAGTGCTCTGTGATTTTCATCTGGTAATGCAATATTACTTAATTCTGTACTTGCTACTTCAGTCTCAACTTGTCCATCAGATTCATCTTTGTTGATCGCTGGAGAGTTACTTACTGGTACATCATCAACATGGCCATTATGGTCACTATCTTGGTGTTCTTCAGGTGGATCTTGTTCAGGCTGATTTTCATGATCGTCCATCTCATGTTCCTGATCTTGTTCTATCTGATCTAAGTCTTCTTTTTCTTCTTTTTTGCCTCCAAACTTATCGAAGCCTTTCTTCATTTTTAGTTCCATTTGTTCCAGTTCCTCAGCTACTTGTTTCTTTTTATTCTCAATTATTTCTAAAACATAAATAGAATTTAATACACTTACAAAAAAGAATAAAATCTATTTCAGCTAAATTGAAGTACTGCATTTAGCATAAAACCTGTACATTTGGTATAAAACATAAACCATTCAGTATATACTTCAGTAGTCAGAGACAAACACGCCTCTGAATTCTAAACATCCTTAAAACAGGCTGAATTTTGCTGAAAATGTGAATTGTGGGACCCCAAAAAAGATGTAAAAGTTTGGCCTCCTACCGCTGTGCTTCCCTCGTAAGAGAGGAAATGTGTATTAGCACTTTCCTCTTGAATAAACTGTTCTGTTGGAAACAACGCTTTTGAATCGACCAACGATTTTGAATGTGTTGTGTGTGAATTTTTTTTTTTTTATAAAATTATATCAACTCTATGGCAATACTTCAATCTTTTGATCAGAGTATCCTATTGACAAAAATCAAAATGTGTTTTAAACGTGAAGAGTACAGATTTTGTATGCAATTTCGGAATTTTGCTACAACTGAAATCAGTTTCTACAAAGTTGGTAAATAAATAAATGTTGCATGATTTTTACCATCGTTTATGATTCTTATGAGATCAATAAAAAAAAAAGGCAAAATTTATGCATCTTTTTGGTATCCCAAAATTGATATTCTCAGCCAAATTCGGCTTGTTCTTGAGTTTTAGACGTCAGATCTCTATAAATACAGTACTTCAAATAGATATATATATATATATAGATAATATATATATATATATATATATATATATATATATGAAGATATTTACAGGCACACATAAAAATATGCTTATAATTGAAAACTGACTATAAACGATCATATTTATAGATGCATATATAGATTATGATTCCTGGTTGCCAGTTATTAGATATTGTTTAAATGTTTTCTTAAACTACTTACCTTCAACTTTTTTAGAACTATCTTCAAGCATTTTCTTAGTACGATCTGACATTTTTCGAGGTAAATAGTAAATGTGTGGTTTAGCTTTGGTTTTGATAAAGTTCATGCTTGGTTTCTGATTCTGTTCCCAAACAGTATATTCTTTTGTCCTCAACATTTTCATTTCTATTAATTTAATTTCAGCTTGTTTCTTTTTTCGATTTAGAAACAATTCTTGTCTTTCCTTCCTTACCTCTTCTTTCTCTTTTATTTCATGTTCCTCAATTTTCTTCTCTACCTCAGCACGTTTCTGTTCCTAAAAGATAATGAAAATTCAGAGTAATAAAAAATTACATACATATAGTAAGTACTCACTCTTTGTTTAAGTTTTGTTTCCTCCTGTTGGAACTTTTGAAGAGTTCCCAATAAAGCTCCGAACATTCTTCTATTCCTAGCTTTAAATTTTTCATCTTTGTTTTGTGCTTCAAGGGCTTGTTCCCGACTAGGCACTTTCTTTGGCGTCACTATAACTTTACTTATTAAACCCCGTTGTTTATTTGTTGAACTATCATCATCTGGAACCTTATCTGACAATCTATTAAAAACAGAAGTTGCATTTCTCCTTTTAGCAGGAGGCTCCTCATTTTCTGTGAACATCCGTGATTTAACAGGAGTTTTATTAGCAGCTCGGTTTTTGTCATCACCAAGTCTTTTCATAACATTTCTTGGAGGTAATTGTGAAGGATCTCTACCAATTAACCTTTTTATACTTTCGTCCACTCCTTTTAAACTGTTTTTGGCTTCTTCTAGTTCATGTTGTAGATTTCCAAAGGATAAAATTTCTGTTCCCATATTGTTCGTTTTTAATAGGTAACGTTATATTTCATTTATTTAAAAACTTAAATTACAGATTTACTGAATCCTACCGACATTTATTTATTAATGAGATTAGGGATTTTCTTTTTTGTGGCAGAGTTGTGGCAGAGTGTCAGTAAGGTTAGAAAGCATAAAATACAGGGTGTCCAACTGAAAGAAAGGCTATTAAGTCAATTTTTCTTGAATTACTTGGCTAATATTCGCATTCAACAAATAAAGTCACAGAAAACAACTAGTAAAATATTATCAACATTAAGCACAGCATAAAAAACATTTGTTTCTTATTAGGTATGTTCTAATTTTTTAGACTTTACTTCTATAAACTATCGATTGTAAAGAGTGTTGCCTATTATTTTTGACAAAGACAATCAATTTTTGATAAATTAAAAACATTTGAGGCTTGTGAGAGGTACTGATTGTCAAAATCACATAAAAATTGAAATTATATTCATTATTGATTAATATTTATTTTTCTTCTAGAAATACGTGTAAGTGTATTAATTTATATTAATAAAGTAGGTTTTGAAAATTAAGTAAAGTGCTAGAAAATATACAAGGATTATGCAACAATTTTTAGGTTAACCTTTTATTTTTTAGATTATGGGGGGCGACGGACACGGTCATGGACATGGTCACGGTGCCCCATATACAATACCCGATTACAAGATATATAAGGTTAAAGATGTACCCGAACTATTGGCTACCGAAAGAGCCTTAGCTGCTCATGGTTTAAAAGATCCTTGGCTTCGCAATGAAGTTTGGAGATATGATCCCAAGGAATTTGGAACACATAGCAGCAGATTAAATACACTGGTTTTTAGAGGATTTAAACTTGGAGTTGGAGCTTTTTTGCTCACAATTGTTGGAACAGCTATTTATGATAAAATGAATCCTAGTGATCACGGCCACGGCCATGGGCATGGGCATAAGTAAATGTATATGATATTTTGTGAACGTAGGATTTTTGTAAATAGAATATATAATGTAACAAGATATTGGTGCTTTTTATTTTAAAATATTTGTATACAATTATTTAAAGTAGTTATGAAGAAATAACAGTCTATTACCAATAATATTTACTCAATTTTTTTAAATAAACAGTTGCTTAAGAAAACATTATTTCAAGAATGAAGAATTGTAAGGTTTAAATTTATAAGGCTTCTGCTATTATAACAATAGTACCACAGTATGTAAGTATAAGGTACTGACAGTCTCAACTTTGAATGCAAATCAGCTAAGATGCAGTTAATAATTACGGAAATTATACCAAATGCTGAGAGCTCATTAAATAAAAAATATTGTTTGATTTTGAATTGGGAAAGTTAGCTTAAGTATTGCCTTTTTTTAATGAAATATTTTTAGTTGATAGAGTTTTGACATAAAACACATGTGCAGATGTTAACTAATTTCAAAATAAAAAATTGTTTTGCATTAAATTTAATGTTCAACCACTTTCTGATAATATTCCTAATTTTTGTAAAATATTGGTGACATCTTAATAAATGAAATAATAAGGCAGAAATGTATGACTTCAGAGGCTTCTACTGCCACAGTCTAGAATTTACTATGGATCTTCCAGGTTTTGATAGTATTTTTATAATACATGACCATATTTGGGCCCTTATTTTACCACCTGTGCAGGTAGCTTCTTATCAGGTCATCTGGTTTGAAACTTCTTAACCTACACACTTTATTATTGTTGTAAAGTAGTTGTTTTGTATTAGTAAGTACATTTATCTGTCGATTACATTTGGTACTATAAGTTGCTAACTTCTTTGACTGAAGGCATTTTGAGATCTTTCTTAATTGATGGGAATATAACAACAATGTAATGAAGTGTTTACGATGGCATTTAACACTTTATTCTGGAAGTATTGGAAGTAATAGCAATAAGTTGCTAGGGTGCCTCAGCTGGATGCCATAAGTCCAAATCAGTTTATGGATTGTCTTGTAAAGGAGCAGTTTATTATCTAATGTGAGCTTGGAGTTTTAACAGATTAGCCAGTATTTTTGCCTAAACTTAGAACCAGCTTATTTTTCTTTTGAAACTGGTCACAATTGAAACAAGTTCATTAATCCAATTTAATATTTGATTGTTTGTCATTTTATTCTTCCTGTTTATATGCTGTTTACACTTTTTCTCCATTCTTTTATTTTCTCATTGAACAAGTAAATATTCGGTTTTTGTTTTAAATCTTTATTTCTCTGTCTACATAGTTTGTCAGTGCATTTTGCTCTTTTAAAAAATCTCATTTCATAATCTTAGATTCTAGAGAAAAATTATATCTGATCCAGGAAACAAACAAGTATGCTCTTTTCAAAGACCAACCCGATCCAGGAGTGACATAAGAGGGAATGAAATGTTTAATTGTCATATACTTATTCTTAATGGTTACAATGATCGTCCAAAATGATTACCATGAAAATCATATCAATAGGAGCATCTATAGTACCTAATCTATCTTCGGTTCAATCATAATTCAAAAAATCAAACTCCCACCATACGAAAGCTTTCTTTCCTTGCCCCTTTGTTTCCTAGTGGTTTCATTGTGAAACTACATACAAATAAATTTTAAGCTACGTTCTCAGTGGCATTTGACTGAAACCACTCACGAAATATAATGACGTATATAAGGCTGCTCCTACTTTAAAATGTATCGCACACCGCCATTTATGTTCTCGTTATTCAGTTATTAGTTAGTAATAACACGTGTTTTGAACCGCGCTAGAGGTATAACCAATTTTGGTGGTTTTTGGATTATTTCGCTATGGCAGGTAATTAACTTTATTTTTTATTTACAATATTAGAAATATTTATATGTATGATTATTACTTCCTACTACTAAAAGTTTTCACTTTACAATACGTATATCTATTGAAGATAAAAAGTGCCGGTTTCATCCTGAAACAACTAGTAAACTAGACAAATATGCACTTATTTTTTTTTCACGAAAAATAGTATATCCATTCTGTTTAAATTCAAATGTGGTTGTATAAATTAGTCAATATATTTGTTCTCCCCCTGTATTCACCCGATCCCTCTGATATCGCTTGGGAATCCATCCCGCGAAGAGAAGTTCATTCATCTTGCCAGAGCTATCGAAGGAATAGCTGGTATTAATTTAGTTACTATTAATTCGTAATACTTCATTATTTGTTGAATCCCCCACACATTCAGAGAGATGTCGTCGGGTGGTCTATTCACATTATTAAATAACATTCCTTCAGTGACAAAGAGGATTTGCTTGACATTACGACTATGCCAATAATACCTACTTGAAAATGATCAGCCAGACCAATATTCAAGAGACGACAATTCAGAGAATATTCCTGATGATGAAGACTTCCCGGACGACGAGGACAATATTTCCCCTTCTATTTTGTGGGATATAGAAATAGCTGAAAGAACAACCTGGACTAACTCAGTGGCATCTTGCGTTACTAACATCAAGCAGTTCACTGAGGAAACCGGTCCTAAAATTCCAGATGAAATATAGAAGCCAGTAGATTTTTTTACACTTGTTTCCCGGAACTCTAATTGACAAAATTGCATTCAAAACAAACCTCTACGCTCTTCAGAAACGTGGTGGAGATTCTTCATTTACACCAAATCCTGCCAATAAAATTCAAATTTTCATTGCAATCAATATATTGATGAGAATCAAAAGGTTGCCCTGTTATGTCGATTACTGGTCATCTAAAGAGGAACTACGAGATCACTACATAAGTCCAGCTATGTCTAGAGATCGGTTTGCTTGGCATCTAGGAAACGTGCATTTAACAGATAATTCGGTGATGCCTCGTCGCGACTTTCCAAATTATGACAAGTTGTATAAAGTTCACCCTTTATTGGATACTTTATCAGAAACGATTCGTTCTTCATATGGCCCTTCAAAATATCAATCTATAGACGAATCTAAGATTCGTTTCAAGGATCGTAGTTGTCTAAAGCAATTTATGCCTCTAAAACCCATCAAGAGGGTTCATAAAGTTTGGGTTCGATCTGACGAGAATGGATTTTTTTTTGAACCTATTCTCTATCCTTCCATTGTTGGATATAGGTCTCCCCCAGTTCTCTCCATCTTTCCCTATCTTGAGCTGTTCTCTGCCATGTGGGACCTCCTTGTTTCCTGATGTCATCTTTCCACCTCATCTGTGGTCTGCCTCTTGATCTCTTTGCATTGTATGGACGCCACTTTCCGATGGCATTGTTCCATCGTCCGTCTTGGAGACGTTCATTGTGTCCAGCCCATTTCCATTTTAGTTTTTCTGCTTGTTCTATCGCGTCTACTGTCTTTGTTCTGGTTATGATCCACTGGTTACGTTTTCTATCTCTAAGTGATACACCCAACATTTGTCTCTCCATCGCTCTTTGTGCCTTCCTTATCCTATCCAAATTGGCCTGTGTAAATGTCCATGTCTGTGCTCCGTAGGTGAGCACCGGTATGATACAGGAGTTATATATCTTACTTCGTAAGTATAGAGGGATTGTTTGATTTTTTAGAACGTAAGAAAGTTTGCCGAACGCTGCCCGTCCCATTCTTACTCGTCTCGATATTTCGGCTGTTTGATTTTCTCTACTAGCTCTGATTGCTTGTCCTAGATAGATATACTCATTTACCTGTTCTATTTTTTCTGTTTTTATTTTTATTGCCTCTTGGTCTTCCGTGTTTGTCATTACTTTTGTTTTGTTGAAGTTAATTTTTAGGCCTTTTTGCAGTGATTTTTCATGAAGTTCATTCAGCATTAATTCCAGTTCTTGTCGTTCCGACGAGAACAGGAGTATATCATCCGCATATCTAAGGTGATTTAGGTATTTTCCGTTAATACATATTCCTCTGTTTTCCCAATCTGTTGATTTTATTATGTCTTCGAGGGTCAAGGTAAACAGTTTAGGTGAAATTATATCGCCTTGTCGGACTCCTCGTTTAACTTTTATTTGTCGTCCAGAATTACGGTCATGGTTGCGTTTTGGTAAATATCATGTATCAATTGTCGGTATCTTGAATCTATTCTACTATTGACCAGAGCTTCTTCAACCGCCCAGTGTTCAATGCTGTCGAAAGCCTTTTCATAATCTACGAATGCTAAGTACAGCGGAAGGTTGTATTCATTGGTTTTCTCAATTAGGATTTTAAGCGTATGTAGATGGTCGATTGTGCTGTATCCTTTTCTGAATCCGGCCTGTTCCACTGGTTGGTAGTTATCAAGTTTATAGGTTAGTCGGTTGTTTATTATTCTTGTGAAGGTTTTATATAGTTGTGACAAAAGGGAAATAGGACGGTAGTTGATTAGGTCTGTTCGGTCTCCCTTCTATGTATTAAGATTGTGTTAGCATTTCTCCATTGTTTGGGTATTTTACCTTCAAACAGACATTTGTTGAACAGTATTTTTAGCATTTTTTTTATCGTGTCTCCTCCTTCTTTTAGCAGTTCCGCCAGTATTTTGTCCTCACCGGCCGCTTTATTTCTTTTCATGTCGGTTATGGATTTTTCGATTTCATCTTCAGTTATTTCTGGTAATACCTCTGAGCCAACATTTTGTATTTTCCTCGTGAGATTCTGTTTAGATGATAGTGGTGGGTCATTTTTAGAACTGTATAGGTCTGTGTAATATCTTTCTGTGATTTTTACTATTTCTCCTAGATCTCTTTCTTCATTGTTCTCAGCTTTAAGCATGATTAGTTTTCTTTTTCCTATATTTGTCTTCATTGTTTTTAAACTTTTGTTCTTCTCTATGATTTTCTTAATGCGGTCTTCTTGGTATTTCTTTAAATCTTCCCTTATCTGTTTTCTTATGGTTTTATTAAGTTCGGTATACTCCACTGTATTTCTTTTGTTATCATTCAGTAGTTGTCGTCGTCTTTTTAGCATATCTTGTGATTTAGAGCTAATTTTTTGCTGTTTTCGCTTTTGTTTATTAGCAATCTTCAAGCCTGCTTCTAGTAGTTCTGTTGTTATTGTATCGTTTAATTCGTCTAGTTGCAGACCCTTTAGCTGTGATATGTCACTTCTTTTTAGCTGGTTTATGTATTGTTCTTTGCGTTCTTTAAGAAGTTCTGTATCTATCTCTTTTTTAGATGGTTTAAATTTTTGTCTGTTGTGGAGTTAATTTTGATTTTGGCTCTAACAATTCTGTGATCACTTCCTACGGAAATCATGTTTATGACCGTAACGTCTTGTACTATGCTCTTTTCTTTGGATAGGATGTAATCAATCTCATTTTTTGTTAAACCATTGGGCGCGACCCACGTCCATTTTCTCTGTGGTTTTTTATTGAAAAATGTATTCATCGCATATAGACCGTTAGTTTCCATATAGTTCATTAATGTTTCTCCTCTTTCGTTTCGTGTTCCATATCCAAAGTTGATGATTTTATTTTCAGATTCTTCTAGTTTTCTCCCTAATTTGGCATTGAAGTCGCCTATAATGATTGTGTAGGTGCTTTTGTATTTGTTCACTGTTTGTGTCAATGATTCGTAGAATATATCCACTTCTTCATCCGTATGTGATGATGTAGAGGCGTAAATTTGTATGATCTTTAAACTTATATTTTTATTTATGTCCATTATTAGAGCCGCAATCCTTTCTGAAATTCCAATATATTGTCTAATCTTATGGACATGCTGATTAGAAATAAGAAAACCGACACCAGCTAATGATTCTTCTTCAGTTCCTTTATAGTGGAGAATGGATATGTTTGCCAATTTCAAATATATGTTAAAAAAACTAACGATCAACCTGAAAAAGATTTGAGCCAAAGAGTTATCTTAGATTTGACTCGAGATTTGGTGGCAAAAGATATCACGTTTTCTTTGATAACTTTTTCAACTTTGTGCCCTTACAAAAAAAACTTAGAGAAGATATTCCAAAAGGCTTAGCACCTGACAAAGAATTACACATCCTAGGACAATTGGACTGGAGGGTCAGCAAAGATGGACTGGTGTTTGTAAAGTGGAGAGACCGGAAAGTAGTGCATTTTTTGGAAAATCTTCAAAACCCTCCAGAAAAAGCAACTGTTTCCCGCAAGCAAAAAGACGGAAATTCACAAGTCGTGGCCTGTCCAACGATGGTCAAAGAATATATAACCAGCATATGGGCTACGTTGAGAAAATAGATATGCTGAAATCTGTATATTAGAGTCACCGCAAATCAAAGAAATGGTGACACCGAATTTTTTGGCATTTCATAGATATATGTGTTGTGAATCCTTTTATTCTTTTCCAACAAAAAGCGAAATGTGCGGTTCCAAACCTGAAATTTTTTTGGGTTATCTGTAGCCTCAGGGTTAATCGGCGCCAGTGGTAGTAAACTGTCACGAAGTAGGGTTGCTTCTCCTACAGTCACAGGACATTTCAAAAAAATTGTGCCTTATGAGAAACGCTTTGACCAATCTTTGCACATGCCACAACACGGGACATCTAGACAATGTGCTTTTTGTAGCACTAGTAAGGATCCTCACAGAACCAGGTGAGTGTGTGCGACGTGTAAGATTAGATTGTGACTTAGCGAAAAAAATAACTATTTTTCGTTGTATCATTAAAAGTAACCTAGTGGTTATCAGATTTTTGTTTGCTTAAGAAAAATCTTTAGTTTCCTAGTGGTATCACGTCGAAACCACAGCCTATTAAAAGAAATACATAAAAAAAAATATTATTTTTCAGTTTTTTGTCTTTTAGGCACCCAATAGAGTAAGAATATTTAATTTTTACCTAAATTTTTTATTTTAAGTTTTCAGGAAACATAGGGTTAAATCAACGGCTGTGTCTGTTCCTTACTAGGTTCTTCTTCTTCAAGTTACGCTCCTATCGGAGATTGGAAATCATTCTGGCAACTATAATTTTGTTGGTTAGGATTACTAGGTTACGTAAGATAAATATCATTAACAATTATTTAGGAAATAAAATACAAAAATGATTTATTTAAAAAATACTGTTTATTATTACCACAAATAAACTGTATACATATTAAGCCTTAACAAAATATTATTAAATATGTATTGTGTCTGCGACAATTTTTCTAAAAATATTTTTTTAATTTGTGCACATTGTCTGATCATTTAAAGCCATAAACTAAATAAATAAATGAAACTTTAACGTTTGCAATAAATCTACACTCGTAAATGTTCAACGTTTGATTCCAAAAATATTTGAGCTCATTTATTAAATCCTAAACAGTATATCGGAATGTAATTACAATATCATTATCTCCCTTCTCGCTTTTGCTAAACATAGTCAGTGTTGTTTTTGCCTGCGATTGTAAATTATCATCCAGGTTTAAGCTCAACTTCATGGCACTTACTACGATCAATTATTTTGGGAAGAGCTTTTTGCATATATAACTGGTACATGTTCTTTTCTTGACGATGAGACTTTCTGTAATTTTAGTGTTCGCGATTTTTAGTGCACTTGTGGGGGCACTTGAGGACTTGCAACACAGTGATAAATCATGCCGTGAGTGTAACAAAGAATCTTTGGTAAGAATACTAAATATATTAAATAATACGATGATGAGATCGCTGGAATTTTGCATTTTTATTAATTTGAAAAAAAATCTTACACAGGGTGTTTCTTTGATGAAGTAACATACGTTAATTGTAAAAAAGGGGCTTTAATGGGTCTTACTTCATCAATAGCAAAGATAATGGTTGTTTTATCTATTTTACAAACTTCTTAACCAAAAGTTATTTGGTTCATATCTTTTTTACCACACTGTATATTTACTTTATATGTGGCACGCGAATATTCTTTAAGGTTTTAAATTAATCGATTAATTTATTTATAATTATAACAAATCAAAGTCCGGATTAAAAAATATTGGAAAAATATTCCGACCCAAAAACAAATCCCTATACGTAAGATTTTTTAAAAATACATTCTGCGCTTAAGGGGGATGAAAAACTAAATTTAGTTGTATATTTTGAACTTTCAACAAAGTGTTTTTTATGGTAAAATTTTGAATTTGAATACTGAAGTTATGTGAATTGCGAGAGCTCGCAGTAGAAAAAAATATAAAACGACCTAATTTTAATTAATACCATTATTTAACCTAAATCTAAAATGAAAAAAATCTAAAATAAAATCTAAATTGGTAAAATGTTAACACTTCAGTTTTGTTTTTATTATGTGCGACAAATAATTGATAATAAATATTCATCTTTAATTAATGAATCAGCCCAAAGAATAGGCAGGCTTCAGGGCAGGATATAGCACACATGACCATTTGCATAACATAAAGATCTTAATAGAAAAGTGCATCGAGTACAACATACCACTGGTTCTTGCATTTGTCGATTACGAGAAGGCTTTTGATTCTGTAGAGTTGGAAACAATACTGAAAGCCCTAAATAAAACCGAATAGATTACAGGTACACGACACTAATCAAAAACATCTACAAGAACGCTACATCAAGTCTACGACTACACGAAGACATAGAAATATTCAGCTTAGGTCGAGGAGATAGACAAGGAGACAATATTTCACCAACATTGTTCACGGCAGCTCTAGAGTCAATATTTAGGAGCACTCAATGGCAAGATATGGGCATCAATATAGATGGAGAAAGATTAAATCACCTAAGGTTTGCAGATGATGTTGTATTAATCGCAGATAACTTACATGATACAGTTTTTATGATGCATTCGCTTAAAAGTCTGTCTGAAAGAGCAGGATTAAAGATAAACTTTGAGAAAACTAAACTTATAACAAATCTCGTAATGAGTGGAAATATAACTATTGACAATAATACCATACAACAAACAGATACTTACAAATATCTGGGAAACGAAATCAAAATAAGCAGAGACAATCAAACATATGAAATACAGAGGCGAATAGGCCTAACATGGGCAGCATTTGGCAAATTAAGCCATATTCTAAAAAGTTCAATTCCCATGTGTCTCAAGCGAAAGGTTTATAACCAATGTGTTTTGCCTGTACAAACTTATGGAGCAGAGACTTTAATACTCACGCAAAAATCTACGAATAAACTCAGAGTTACACAACAAGCCATGGAATGTGCAATGCTGAACGTGAGCCTTCGAGACCACATAACAAACCAAGAAATCAGGCAAAGATCAGGAGTTCAAGACGTCATCGATAGAACCACGACGCTTAAGTGGAACTGGGCAGGGCACTTAGCCAGAACACAAGATGGACGGTGGACAAGATGTATTATGAAATGGAGGCCCAGAAACTATAAAAGAAGCCGAGGACGACCACCGACTAGATGGACCGATAATATAAAAATGTGTAGCGGGAAACTGGCTACAAGCGGCCCAGTGTAGAGAACACTGGAGAGAACTGAGGGAGGCCTATGCCCAGCTGTGGACGCGATTGGCTAATTGATAATAAATTAATGAATAAATAATAAAGAGTCCACAAAAAATACATAACTTGAATCAACGAAGTATCTTAAACATTAAAAAAACAGCGAAAATTTGCAGAAAAAGAACTATTATTAAAACTAAAGTAATTGTTCAAAATGCCCACCTTCTTGTTAAAGACAGTCTTGCTATTTTTTTAATATATCTGACTGACTTCCTAATCTCGTCTGAGTTATTTTTCATTCTTCTTGAATCCGTCCAAGAAGTTCGTAGCTACTATATCTTTCATCGCTATAAACTTAAAAAGACCCCAACAATTATAAAGGTATAAATCTACTGAACACCACCTGAATCCAAAAAACAAGGATTCAGATCCGGAAAATCCTGTGTAGACGCTGTATTTGTACTAAGACAAATCACAGAAAAGGCCATCGAGTACGATAAACCAGCATATCTATGTTTTATAGACCTGACAAAGCTTTAGATCGCGTCCAAGTCGAAGATGTCTTACACCTACTGTATAAAAGAAACGTATCATTCAATATTATACAAAACGTCGAAAACATCTACGTCCATAATCGAATACAGGCAAAAATAAATGGAAAACTAACACAGTGTATACCAATACAAAGCTGACTCAGACAGGGTGACTCGTTAAGCCCACTTCTCTTTAATATATTAATGGACGAAATAATACAAGCAGTACGTAAAGGTTATGGTTACAGAATGTGGAATAAAGAAATCCAAATATTATGTCATGCAGACGACGCCCAGTGGCGGCTGGTGTGGTAAAATATTGAGTGATAATATTGTCCAAAATCTCAAAAAAGATCCTTCTAAATTTAGTTTTAGCTTTCTCCAAAAGCTTTGATCTCCGTTATTAGATGAACTACCAGGTAAAATTTCAAGTTCACTACTTTCGACTTAAGATGGGTTTAGAATTGGTTTCGCTAACAGCAATGTTGAAATGGTTAGAAAATGTAAGGTCATTTCTCCAACTCTTTAATATTGCAATACTTCTGGACACTGAATCGGCACATAATTGAACATCATTATTTTTCTTCTGCAAGATGCTGTATAAGAGCTTAGTTTGTTGAAATATATCACTAAAAACATTTAATAAAAATACAAATTCCAAATCCTCCAACTTACATTTAAAACCATCTGCCTGCCTACCTGATTTTGCATTTGATTCTGGGGAATTTATTATGTCCTGAAAGACTTATAACAATTTTTTCATTCTTGTGACACAGAATATACTACTTTTGCATTTGAATTCCATCTTACTTCACTATTTGTGGTAGTTCGTTTTCCAAGTATTTTATTTAAAAAATAAGTCCATTAAGTTGTCCCGACAGAACACTAGCTCCATCGTAGGTTTGAGCAATTAATTTAGCTTTACAGTCAAATTTACCAATTACACTAAACAGTAAGTCACGTAACGTTGGAGCACTTCGGTCTTCCCCTTGATCAAAAAAACCATTATTATATCCACTAATTGAACAGACTATTGAACAATGTGCCCTTTCAGTAATATCGGTTGTTTCATCAAGAATGCATGCAAAAAATGTGGAGCAATCTTAAATTATACCTCCGAATGAGAGATTTAGCTCCTGAATATCACACTAAAATTCTCATGGCGTTTCCTTTTGGTTGTCCTTTTGGCGTGGTAACTAAGCTACAATATAAACCTGAAGAATAAGAATAATTGGGATATTAATTATTTATCTTTATGATAAAGTTATTTAATTCATTTTTTGTGAGGTTTCTATAGTTGCTTTTTTACTAATTTTAAATGAGTGTCTACAAATCTGACCAAATATACTAGGATACCATTTATTTTCTGGTCATTTAAAAGTACCGTCATCTAATCACCATATTATGGTGATACATAAAAGAATAAAAGTTCATTCGTTCGAATTATAATTTCAAATTTGGTCAATATCACCTTGTTTTTAATTTCCATATAAAAGGCTACAGACAGATCATTACTTTGGTATGAATGCGAAAAACAAGTAGTTGTTTTATACAATATGATATCGTTGAGAGAAAAGTTATGAAAAACCATTAAGGGAAGAAGATAAGAAGATAAATTAATCAAGAATAGAAATAGCCTCATTATAATTTATTCGTCAACATTTATTATATTAATTAAAATGATTGTTACAAAACATTATTTCGAAGGATAACTTCTTTTTATAATTTCTTAAGTTGCGTCTCAAAGTATAGGTATGCTCTGAGAAGAATGAGATACCTACGCTCAAATTTAGGTATGGCAAGTTAAAAAGAAGTTGCTTCTCGGTTGCTACAGAGTGCCCTAAACTAGAAGACCGTAGCAAGGTTATGGTACCCTGGGTGACGGGGCACGAGGATTATAAGGGCAATGAAAAAGCAGATGAAATGGCCAAACGAGGTTCATCAATGCCATTCATTGGACCGGAACCCTTCTGCGACGTTGCAAAAACAGTAACAAGAACGGCTACAAGGAAGTGGATAGCTCTCAAATCTCTGGAATGGTGGATGTAACAGGTTCTGGTTACCAATACTGAAAGAAGTCGGCAATAAGAATGCCAACATTAATGACGTAATAGAAGGTCAGAGACGCATCATCTATAATTATACATAATTCATAAACACATGATACATACACACATAATACCTACATAAACACACGAAAAATCAGAATTTAATATCAACCTAGAGTAGGTACAACCCACCCTCAGAATTATCAACTCAAAACGTGGATATTTGCCAAAATATCGAGGTCAAATAAATCAGCTGTCAAATAGGCTGTAGCAAAGCGCCAATTAATAAACACCTACAGGTTAAAATAACTCCTTGTTTTAAAATAATCTTTTTTTTAATATGATTTCCGGAGTGAAAATCAAAACAAACGTAAAATGTAATTTTTATTATAATAAATAATGATTTAATCTCATATAAATGCAACAGCTAACTCAAAATATTTATTTTTGAGGATTTCAATAAATTGTTGGTTCTAATTTTTAGGCTCCAGTTTTGGTAATGTACACAGGTGATTTGTGATGTAGGTACACTTCCCGTCATATAAAACTGGTACACTTTTTTCCCAATGTAAACCTGTGTTTAGAAATCAATTCGTTGTTGCCATTACAGATAACGGAATTGCACT